GATTTTGCCAACAGGGGGCCCTCCAGGACAACAAACAGAGCTCAACGGAAGGTAATCAGGTGTCTGGTCGCTGGAGGTGTGTTGATGACACTGTGAAATAACATCATTTTATGATGAAGTGTCTTTAGCCAGGCTGTCAGCATGGTTTATCTGACAAGCGGCCCCATCACACACACTCATTACGAATGAGCCTTTTTAAGGTTGTTTTCATTCACTGTCAGCGGTGCCGATGCGCGCCCCCCCAGCACGAAAGCGCGCACGCAGCTCTCAGCGCCCAGCGCCCGCCGTTCACGTCAACGTTCACGTGAGACCACGGTACGAGCTCAGCGACGTATCTCGCTCTCGGCAGAAGCGACACACGTTTTGTCATTGTAGTGGTGTCAACGCGCGCTCCCGCGGCGTTAGCAGTTTCACAAGCTTCACAGCGGCTCTGCTCCTTTATCCTCGAAGAAGGTTTTCTGAATTAATTCTGCAGCTCGTGGAATCACTCTGAAGTTCACGTGACTTGCAGCCAAGAATGAACGTATTTCTGCAGACCGAGCCAGTGGTAGCCTCGCTTCACCGATGCCGCGCGCTGCTTCCTGACCGCTCCAGTGCCAACGCGCGCTCCCGCGGCGTCAGCAGCTCCACAAGCCTTCACAGCGGCTCAGCTCATACATCCTCGAAGAAGGGTTTTTTTTTGTCTGAATTAATATTGCAGCTCGTGGAATCACTCAAAGCTCACGTGATTTGCAGCAAACAATGAACGTGTTTCTGCAGACCGAGCCAGTGGTAACCCCGCTCCACCGAGAGCGCGCGGTGCCTCCTTACCGCACCAGTGCCAACGCGCGCCCCCGCAGCAATCCTTGGCTTAAAGCGTCGCATGAGGACGCACACACACGACCCTTCAGGGCGCGTCGGCTCATATGTGCACCTGCTTCCCGAGCGTTACACGGAGCAGCGGCACACAACGTGAACACAACACATGAGCTGTTTTTCCCGCAGCAACACACAACGTCTTGCACTCTCACTCAGCGCGCTCCAGTTCACATCAGCATGTATGTAAGTTTTCACAGCATAAATGCGTGCCCGCTTTATAGCTTATAAACGGGTGGCAATGAACGCGCGCTTCCAGACGGATGGGCGAACCGTTTTCATCCGGGATTCACGCTGCAGTTCAGCTTAAACTCCGGTGTGGAGGAACTCTGTGACGTTTTTTCTGTCATTTATGAACAGATCTCGTCCCCTCTAGCAGAAGCTCAGGAAATTCTTTTTTAAATGTAATTTCTAGAGTCTCAGATGGAGAGGAAACGCAAGGTCTCTCTTATCATTTCCTGGTCCCAATGAACTGGAAGATGAGATTTATTCTAGATTGTCAATTTCTGAGCTGTGAGAAACAACACTCCATTATGCCCCGAGCCGCTTTAATTCTGCGTTATCTGGACACCTGCTGCTGCTGAGCAGCTTGTACAGACAGGGGGCACCAGTGCAACTCACGTGAATCGGTTGAGTGATATCAGCTGTTTTCCGTCAACAAGCTGTGGGGCGCTGTGGCTCTCCACACAGCAGCTGTTTTAAATGTTTTTGGAGTGTCGCACGGGATCCTTGAATATGACTCAACACTGACCTTGAGCTGCAGAATCATCAGAGTTTTTGATTCTCAGACAGCAAGTGACTGTTGCATACATACTAGCAGGAAATGTATGCATTTTTCAACCCATGTGCCACATTGTGAGACAGATGCTGTGTGGGGCACACCCAATCTGCTCTCCAATGGAGTGGGTACATCTCATGTATTCCACCCAGAGCTAGGGCTCAGACACGGTAGAATCCTGCCAGTGTCTGCGGATGTGTAGCAACACGAGAGAACGCTCAATGTCAATTATAATTATCGTGGAGCCACGGGACGATCCACCGCTGGGTGGACGTGCCTGCTCACAGCCTGTGGTCGTAATGCCTTTCACCTTCTTCTCTCCCTCTGGTATCACGGTTTTCTGAACCGAGCTCAGGAGGAGGGACTGGCAGCTCTTCTGCCCCAAGTGCGTGAACGCATCATGGTTCCCAGGCCTACGACATTTGTTATCAGGGCGCTCGTGGAACCTGTCGTGGAGGGGGGACGCTTCCCTCCAGGCGGGAGGAACGATCAGGAATTAATCAGAATAGGCCAGCACCTGTGGTTTGGCCGCTGTGCGGATCTTTGAGAGGATGGATCTCTCTCAAGATGTAGTGCGTACGATTCAGGAGTCACGTGCTGCAACTACCACAGCGTTGTTCACATCAAGTGGTCAGTTTTCCAACGCTGCTGTACAGAAAGGCGTAGAGGCCACTTCATGTCCACTGGACGACATGCTGTTTTTTCTGCAGCAGCCGAGGGACAGAAATCTGGTGTCCAGCACGACTATCGTATGCTGCAACCGTGTTTTCTTCTTGTCTCAAAGTTGTCGTAGACAGAACAACCTTTAGTCATCCTCTGACGGAGCATTTTGTCTTAGATTGATATAGCAGCTGTGGGCCTGTTGTGACACGGGAAACGCTCAGTGTCAATTATGCGCTTCTCTGAGCCCATGAGACGAACCACCGCTGGGGGGTGGATGCGTTTGTCCACAGTCCATGGCCCAAAATGCTTCTGTACGCGTTTTTCTCCACCTCCTCTGATCTTACGGTTCTTGAACCGAGCTCAGGGGGAGGGATTGACAGCTCTCCTGGTGGCCCCGAGCGCATGGGTGCACCATGGTTCCCAGCCCTGAAACGCCTGCTGTCGGGGTGCCCGTGGGAACTGCCGTAGAGGGAGGACGCTCTCCTTCCAGGCAGGAGGAGCGACCAGGAGTTACCCAGAAATAGGCCAGCACCTGTGTGTCTGGCCGTTGAACAAATCCACTTAGAGAGGATGGGTTGCCCACAGGATGTAATGCGCACAATTCAGGTTTCTCGTGGTGCATCTACCACAGCGATGTATACATCAAAGCGGACAGCTTTTCAGTGCTGATGTACAGAGAAGGGTGTAGAGGCCTCCTCATGTTCTTTAGGTGGCATGCTGTTCTTTCTGCAGCAGCTGATGGACAGAAGTTTGCATCCAGCACGTTTAAAACGTACGCTGCAGCCATCTCTTCCTGACATGAAGGTTTCTGAGACAGAACAGGTTTTATCATCCGCTGATGAAACGTTTTCTAAAAGGTGTACAGAGACGCAGGTCTGTCTCACACCCACTTGTTTCCTGTGGGATTTAATACTGGTCCTGCAGGTCATGATCAAAGCTTCATTTGAGTCTTTGGATCAGGTTCCACTTAAATTCTTGTCTCTTTAAACAGCCCTGCTGCTGGCTTTAACATCCGCTAAGAGAGTGAGTGTTTTATCTGCCCTCTCTGTCGCTCCGTCATGTCTCAGAAATTAGGCTGACGGCAGTTCAGCTGATTTTAGATCAACCCCGCTTTTATGCCTAAAACATCACAAGCTCTTTTAATCAAGAGCGATATCATTGGAGGGGTCATCCCCCCCCCCCCCTTTCACACAGATCAGATGAAGTAACGTCTTTTTATCTCCTCTGTCCTGTGCGGGCGTTGACGTGTTGCATAGCGTGCACAGCTGCAATGCGTCAACATTTGTTTGTGCATTATAGAGATGCATCTGCAGGTCGCCCGTTATCCACCCAGCGCTTGTCACACTGGCTTTGTGAGGCCATTTCTGAAGCCTACAGAGCATCAGATTTAGAGTCTCCTGTCAACCTCAGAGTACACTCTACCAGGGGTATCGCATCTTCGACTGCTTTGCATAATGGTATGTCAATGCAGGACATTTTGCACTGTGGCCGCGTGGTCAACACCCTGCTCATTACTCGCCTTTATCTAGGTGATGTGACGGCCCGTTCCATGACACATTCTGTCCTTAGTGTTTACAGAATGAATATTATTGTTTCATGGAACTCCGTTTTACTCACATCTGTCTGCATGCATTACAGTGTGAGATGTTATCAGTCACAAGTTGTGACTGTTATTTTGGTTCTATTGTCATTAATCAGTTCACGACTATTGTTACCAATCAGTTCATCTGATTAATAATCATCTCTCTTGTTATTATTAATCTGTTCATACAGTTCGGCCGTAAACCGGTTGGTTCATGGCTCTTTTCAGCGTTTTTTCCCTCCCCGTTGATGTTTCCGGGGCGTTCATGCATTCAGAATGCATAGTTACACAACATGCGTCTGTGTATGGCACACATAATTACGTAATGCGTAATTACGCACATGGGAGCTGAGTGATTAGACTTTTTTTTTTTTTGTGCAAGCTTCTGCTTCATACGGTGTTCGAATGGACCCAGTGAGGCGAGGACAACATCTGCTTCGCCCTTAACCCACTAAGCGAAGGCCTTAAAGGGCGAAGCTTATCCGAAATAGAACGTTGGTTACGTACTGTAACCCCAGATTCTATGAGTATAAGCGTAGCCCTTTAAGCATCGGGCCTCACTGGCTCCTAAATGGCTGAAGAAAAAAGCTATTTTTGGGAGCCGATTTCCCGCTCTTAACGTAATTTATACGGACCGGGTGGGGCCCACACAGCAGGTGGGCGTGGACTAAATTTTTCAGTGCTAATGCTCCGCATAACGGGATAAACCCACTAAGCGAAGGCCTTAAAGGGCTACGCCTATACTCATAGAATCTGGGGTTACAGTACGTAACCAACGTTTTTAGATGTCTTAATCGTTTTATAATCTAGCTGTTTTTTGGTACTATTCCTCTTGATTGTCCTTTTCGGTGCTATTTTCTTTTGATTATTTTCATTTGTTAAAAAAAAGAGAGAAACTTAAATTTGTATACATATGCCTCTTATAACTGTATATTGTCATAGCTGTTGTCCAGTGTTGTCATCATTCTTTGTTAAATTCAGGTCTGTAGATGAGTCCCCGAGGCTCAGTGGGATTAACCTGAAGAAATAAAGGCTGAATGAATACATTTTCATGGACGCCTCTTGCACTTCCGGAAGACGTTTTCTGCTTTATTTTGAAAGGACAAAGCGGAACTTGATGTTCCTAGGCAAACATCCGCGTGAAACGGTTCTCCTCCGTTTCCTCACGTCTGCTCCTCTCCGCTCGCTTCGGCCGAGCCACCGCAAACTAAAAGTACATGTGAGTCTGTGCGTGAGTCTGTGCGTGAGTCTGTGCGGTGAGGCTGTGCGTGAGTCTGGTGCTCAGTGTTCGTGAAGATCGAGCCGGAAGCTGAGGAGAAGAAACCACTGAGCACACAGGAGGCCACGGTGCCCCCTCAAACACATACACACATCATCAGGGCCTTGATGGTGATGCATGCAAGGAAACCAGCCAGAGTCAGCGATGGGTAAACCACACTTCACCTTAGAGATTGAATGTAGACGTGGTGCATGAGTAAATTCAAAACCTGCACATTTCCTCGTACCGTTAGCCGTCGCGGCTAGCTGCTAACAGCTCGCGAGTAGTTAGCTTGGTTGTGTACATGTCTTGAAGCCAGAGTAATGTAAGGAGAACGTTAACTAACACGATTATGTTCAATTAAGTGTATAGTCTTTTGGGTTTTATTTAAACATGTTTTAAAGACATGTAAACTTTTGTAAACATGTTTTCTTGGACGATATGTTATATGGCTAAAATCCGTGCTAGCTTTGCTAACGTTAGCAACCTAATATTATTTATGAAGGAAGTTATTGAGCTCAACCAAATGATCCAAACTTTCCCTTTTTGTGTCCACAGGTGCAACGACCGAAGGGATTCACAATCCTACCAGGTAAGACGTGCTCACATTCACCTGGACTCATAATTACTGTCCAGCTACTTTTTGCATTTAATTGAAATACTAAAGTCTTAGTTGTGTTTTAGTAAAGTCTTAGTTGTGTTTTAGTAAAGTCTTAGTTGTGTTTTATTAAAGTCTTAGTTGTGTTTTA